AAAAAAAAAAAAAAAAAAAAAAAAAACAGAAACATACTCTGTTAACTCAAGAAAGTTGTATTAATGTTGGGTATAACTTTTTTGTTAATCTCTTTGCAATTTCTCTTTTACAGAGAGTAAGAGAGTTTTTGTTGTAGTAAGAATGTGCAGTTTAAGCAAAGCAGGGGAGTTGAGGGATGTCTTTTTTGGAGTGTCCTTAAATAGAGTCAAATTATACTCTAATAAGTGCAAACCTATTCATATTTTGATTTCAGTGTTTTGATATCATTATTTTGCATTAACTTTTGTTTTAAAACGCCAGTACACTTACTGGCATTTGAATTTGAATGCATTCCTTATTGTCAGGTTAATAGAAATAAGTCTGTTTGTTTTGGATGCATTGCATGGAAGTAATTTAAAGTGGCTCCTTGGCCAATTTCAACAGTTCTGTGAAAAATAATTTAAAACTTGTAGTAACTACTGAAATGCCAAAATATATACAGACCAACTTCTTCACTAATCACGTTGCTATCATAATAAAGTCATTGTTTATCAAATACTTGATAAACAGATTTAATGAGGTGCTTGTCCCTAACAGTACAAGGATCTATATGTAACTGTAAATCTATCTCATGTTCAGAAACTCAGAGAAACTGCTACCATGAATTTCCTCTTGTGAAATGTATCGCAACTATTAAATGCAAATTTTGAGGAAGTTGCATAGTCAGTTTTTCTGCTGAATTGTACAATGTTGTTTTTTCTCTTGAAGATCTTGTGTATAGTGTTTTTTCTTTCCCACACTAATTCAAATTAAATCGATTTTCAGTGGGGATTTTAAACACAGTGTGTGGACTGTATGAAAGTTTGATACTGTTTAGATATATGGGGAAAAGACACCTTTTAGATTCATTTTAAAACATCCAAATTTCCACTGAAAGAAAGTAATCATGAGCATCTCACTCAAGTGCAAACAGTGGGTTACGCAGAGCAAAGGGAAGTTACAGTTAGGAGATGACAGAACTCTCTGCCACCAATGTCTGATTTCCTCTTTCAGAGAACACGGAAAATTAAACTTTTGACCTGTGTGATGAATTGATTCAAAATAGTATATACAAGTGTATTGTAGATGAAAATGTCTGTGGTAGGTCAGTTTCTTTTTTTTTAGTAATTACTATGTATCATTATTTAAAGATAAATCTTTGATGGAAGGATTTTTTTTTTAATTTAAATCAGAGACAAGACCAAAGAATTTTTTATTTTTATTTTATTTTATTTTTATTTTTTTGTGGAACAGATAGTGAGAAACCTTATGAAATAAACAAGGGCAGGTGCAAGGTCCTGTATCTGGGCAGGAATATCCTTAGACACCAGTGCAGGCTGGGGACTGACCTTCTGGAGAGCGGCCCCGCAGAGAGGAACTTGGTCGTCAAGGTGGACGACAAGTTGACCATGAGGCAGCAGTGTGCCCTGGTGGCCGAGAAGGCCAATGGGATCCTGGGGTGCATTAAGAAGAGCATCTCCAGCAGGTCGAGGGAGGTGATTGTCCCCCTGTGCATAGCCCTGGTGAGGCCACATCTGGAGACTGTGTCCAGTTCTGGGCTCCCCAGTACAAGAGGGATGTGGAGCTGCTGGAGAGAGTCCAGCGCAGGGCTACCAGGATGATCAGGGGCCTGGAACATCTGCCCTATGAGCAAAGGCTGAGAGAGCTGGGTCTGTTCAGCCTGGAGAAGAGGAGGCTGAGGGGGGACCTGATCAGTGTGTATAAATACCTCAAGGGAGGCAGTGAGGAGGAGGGGGGCTGGCCTCTTTTCAGTGGTGGTCACTAGTAGAACTAGAGGAAATGGCCACAAGCTAAAGCACCAAAAGTTCCACAGGAACTTAAGGAAAAGGCTCATAACAGTGAGGATGACAGAGCCCTGGAACAGGCTGCCCAGAGAGGTTGTGGAGTCTCCTTCCCTGGAGATTTCAACGCCCGCTTGCATGCAGCTATAGGTGACCTTGTGTGTGCAGGGGAATTGGACTAGGTGATCTCTAAAGGTCCCTTCCAACCTTAAGGATTGTATGAGGGAGGAGCAGGGATGTTTGAAATAACAGCTGATGATTCAGCTATCTGTGAATCCTGCCCAGATCTGTTGATTAGTAAGAAAAACATCTGGATAAAAATTCAGTTTTCAGTGTGACACCTAGAAATCTGATATACCTGTGTGCTCAAGTGAAAAAGTGGCCTCAATGACAAGGGGCTGGCGCAGGGTACCCAAGCCAGGCGAGCAGAGCAAGTTCCCTGGTGGTAGCCAGGTTTAGCCAAGAGTTGTTTGAGTATTTAGTATTTTATACAGATGTAGACTTTCAAACAGTAAGCTTTATTAACCGTTTTAAATTGCTGTTTGTAATTTAAGGATTGGTCATCAAATCTTTACTCTGAGGCCAGGGTTTGCTGAAGATAGTAAGGACTCACTTTGATGATACAATACACTCTTTCCAAAGATTAATAGTATGCTCCTTAAGTTGATTGTCCCATATTGAAACAAGAATACTTTAAAATGTTTGTAATATTCATTTTGTTTGCCTTCTGAAAGCCTGAGCTTTGTTAGATTAATTTTTAAATTACATATGTAGTATAAACCTGATCAATGACTACCTTGTATGGTTAATAAGTTTTGTTTCAAGTATCAAGATAGTTGATTCTCAGTACTTGGTAAGTGATACGTATTATTTAAACATTAATTCGTTTTATTAGACTTAAAAAGTTGAATGGTAATCTTTATCATTAAACTTCTGCTGCTGTTTTTTTTGGTGTCAAATGTACCTTGTAATTTTGACCTAAGAATGACTGAAGTAAAAACGTCCTTTTTATATTTTGACTATTTCAGAGTTTCATATAGGAAGTATGGATTTTTAAAGTCTAGGATTTGGTTGGGAAACTTGTCTTTTTTGGATGTAATCTTTCCAGAAGATCAAGTTAAGACATAACAGATGTGTACCTATGCATAGTTTCTAACATTTTTGCAGACCTTAGGATATAAATCCAAATTTTACAGTAGATCTAGGAGAGGTACAAGAAAGGAACTAAAAATCACTAGAAATATGCAGTGGTTGTAAAAAGTTGTTAAGTAGGTGAGTGCTCTTTAGCCTGGCAATGAGAAAGCTGAGAAATGAGAGATTGTATAAAATCAGGAATGATATGAGAAATGTGAAAAGGGATTTCTTGCAATGAATATATAGTTGGGAATAAGTCAGACTTCCATGCCAGCCTGACATTAAAAGGAAGAATTTTTGCTTAACACATAATAAAGTTGTGGAGTTCTTTGCCATGGGATGTTGTGAATGTCACAATGTGAATGGGTTCAAACACCATTAGGCAAGTTCAGGAAAGATGGGTCTCTTAGTGACCATTAAATGCAATAGTGCAGATACTATTCTGTGTCTAAGGAATCTTTAAATTTTAGGTTACCAGAAATCAAATAAGTCACTTCATACTTGACCTATTCTTCTATTCTTCCCATTAGTATTTGATATTCTAGTAAGAATTTTCTTAATTTTTTCTTTCAATTTTTCCTTCATGTTGATGTCTTCTGACTTTCAAGTGTCTCAGATGACAAAAAAGAAAGATTACAATTAATGAAAGGCTACTATTAATGATTTTTTTTTAAATACAATATTTTAGACTGTATAGACTGTATTTTAAACTATATAGAGTGAAGACAGTTTCACTGGAATTGGAAGAAAGTAACCTTTCTTGACAGATCTGATTTAGGACTCATGATTGACATCTATCAGCTGTGTATCTATCTATCTATCTGGTATCTATCTATCACATCTGCTGTTAAATGCAGACATAAGTTAACACCTTTTGGAGTCTTCCATATCTCTCATGTTAATTGATGGTAACACATCAGAGAAACAGAGATACTAATTTTTTTTTTTAAATCTTACTTGATTTCTGTTCCTTTTTATTTTTCTTTTCTTTTTTCTCTCTCCTCTGTTCTCATTTTCTGCTGTGTTTTGAGACTATTTTATTTCAATATCATGTCACTGTGTTACTTGGGTTTAGGTGTTGGAAACGAAACTTCTCTAGGAGCAGCTGCTTGATTGGTTGAAAGCTGGTCAATTGGTTGAAAAAAACATACATCTGCTACATATATGTAGTACTGTGCTATTGTTACTTTAGTACTTGTTGCTAAGTTCATGTCTGTTTGGGATAGTCATGTATCTATTGAAATCCTAAAATCAATCATGTACTTTGGACTATAATAGTCTTTCATTACTTCCTCCTGCTCATTTTATTCTCTGTTGAGTATAGAATAAGTAGCTCTGCAAGAAGGAGCCAGCAATGAGGGCTCCCGGATTTTTTTAAACACTTAGTGTTTGAAAGGAGAACACTTTGAAGAGGGAAGAGAGGAATACAAAGAGTGAAAATATAATAGCAGTTAAATTCCTGTATTAAAACATGAAATACCGTTCTGTTTATGTAGCTACTTTCTGTGTGTGTATATATATATATATATATATACATATATAGTATCCATAGAAGTTTACTATACAATAAGGCTAAGTATCACTTGTATTATTGATAAGCCATGTATATTGAAAATGATACCGTGAAATATTCCAAAAAGCCACTATATCACACTGGATGCCTGTTCTCATTGCTATCCCTATGGATAATGTCTATCTTACATCTTCTAATTCCTTAGAAAAATCTCTATAACTGATTTCATTGAACTTCAGACATGTTAATCATTGGAAACAGTAGTGAACAATATTTTTCTTTGTTCTCATGATATATTTTTCTTTTAATAGAAGAATTACGGAAACTGAGTTGGTCTGGAATTCCTAAACAAGTTCGTCCTGTTGCGTGGAAGCTTCTTTCGGTAAGTGTTTTCTTGTTTGTTTGCTTTGGGTTTTTTTTTTTTTTATTTTTATTTTTTTTTTATTTAGCAGTAATAGCTTTTTCAGTCACTGCAGATAATTTTCCTTGAGTTGTAATTCATCAGTGATACTTCAAAACATTTTGTTTCGTGGTTGAACTCTAATGAAAGTTTGGTTTTTAGCTCAATTTGAAGCTTAATTTATCAAACTTGAAGGAGGGGAATGAGAGGTAAGTAAATCATGTCAGTTGTGTATCTTTATTTTTCATCCTGGCTTTCTGTGAAAACAAGGCTTATATGATAACAATAGCCTATTTCAATAAGATTTGCCAGTGTGGTGGAGCATTCGGAGACAGGTGTATTCCTACAGTTTTCTTTAAAATAAATGGATAGCCGAGGAAGAAAAACCTCTCTGTATCCCAGTGAAGACTTCATTCTAGTTACTAATTTAAGCAACTGCCAGGGACTCATCATAGAAAAGATAAATACTATATCGAAGAAAAGCTATGATAGAAGCTTGTGTCTCTTTGAACTGTTTTTCTATAGCGGTTTAAGATGAACAAATCTGAACTGCCATGATCCCAACCTTTACCTTGTGACATTGGTTCAGCTGTTGTCATTTCAGAGAGATTCAAGGTGATTAAGAACCTAATAGCTTTTTTTTATAGGGTGAGTTTTTGTTTGGCTTAGCTCTCTGAACCTTAGTCAGTGGTAGAAGGAGGTTGGGACTTTAATAGCTCTGAAATAGATTGATTGAAGTATCATAGAATAGTACACTAAGGTATTTCAGCCAAGCAATCGTGAAGCCCAAATTTATGGGAATTGAGGCTTTACCAGGTTGGTGTCACAGAGCTGGATTTTTTTCTCAATATTTGCATTATATTTCAACAATATATATTTAATAATATCTTTTGCAAAAATAGAGTGTATGCCTGATAGGAATATTTTAATATGTCACTTTTTGAACTTGTCATAGTAAATGGTTGTGAATTTTAGCTGTTTTTTTTCCTCTACATGGTTGGGAAAAGAAGTTGTGAAGATGTTTTTATCAAAAAGAAGCAAATATCTCATGCGGCCTGCTCTCTAGAGATTGCAGAAGACACTTTATCAGCAAATCTTCACACATTTAAGAACTACTTAAAATTCTGAGTTATACACACAACAGTTTAGTACTATTGAATTTTTCAGAGTGTAGGCTTAAATAGCTTTCCTTTTTTTAGAATAATTCAACAGGGAATGCAAAGTACTTACTTCAGACTGAGTCTGATTTCCAGTGACTGAAAGAGTCTCTCTTGCTAATGAATTCCAGTAAATTTGCAGCTCAGTTCCTTCTGATACAAATGCAGGTGCAGCTTCTTAGTGGTGAATATTAAAATATTCTGTTGCAATGGAAATGAAAAATGGAAAATAAATTCTTTTTTTTTTTTTGTGGGTGATTTTTTTTGAGTGACTTCCACTTTTTTTCATAAGCAACTATCTATATTTTGAAAGTTGCCAGTCTCTTATTTACAAGTATTGTAGTCAGGATTTTCCTATGTATTTCTTACAGTGACTTCTCATCCACTAAGTGGTCCTCAGTGAATATGGTTTGGAAACCTGAAGACTAGTCACTTAGTAACCATCAGTTTTCTGTACTGTAAGACAGGAGCTTATTTGATATTCTTTCAGAAAGATGGAAGAAGTGGTGCTTTCACCATTTGCGGCCTTAAAAAAATAAGTCTGTGATTATTATGTTTTTTTTTCTTAATAGTTTGTGGTTACGTAAGTTACTAAAACATGTAATTCCTGCTAATAATGTACCTGATACTGTGGGTGGTGTTTTAACTTACTCTGTTATGAGCTGCAGTGGGAGCTGTAGATAAAATACCTGCCCCTGGGGAGGAATAACTCCAGGCACCAGGACAGATTAGGGGTCGACCTGCTGGAGAGCAGCTCCACACAGAGGGATCTGGGAGTCCTGGTGGACACCAAGTCACCCATGAGGCAGCAGTGCCCTCGTGGCCAAGGAGGCCAATGGGCTCCTGGCTGCATCAGGAGGATGTTGCCAGCAGGGGCAGGGAGGGGATCCTGCCCCTCTGCTCAGCTCTGGGGAGGCCGCACCTGGAGTATTGGGGGCAGCTCTGGGCTCCCCAGGACAAGAGGGACGTGGAGCTTCTAGAGAGGGTCCAACAGAGAGCAACAAAGATGATGATGGACTGGAGCATCTCTTGTGTGAGGAGAGACTGAATGAATTGTCACCTGTGAGGGTGACAGAGCCCTGGCACAGGCTGCCTAGGGAGGTTGTGGAGTCTCCTTCTCCGGAGATCTTCAAAACCTGCCTGGATGTGGTGGGTGGCCCCTGTGCCCCATGCTCTGGGTGTCCCTGTTTCAGCAGAGGGGGTTGGACTAGATGGTCTCTAGGGGTCTCTTCCAACCTCGACCATTCGGTGAATCTGTGAAATGTACAAAAACAAAGTAGCTTTCATTAAACATAATTGGGGGGGGGGGGGGGGGGGAGTAAAAGACCACCCTACGCTACTACCCACCCCCTCAAAAAAAAAAAAAAAAGACCCGCAGTTTAGAGCTAGATTAAGAGAGGAGCTGTTTGTCTTGGAGTTGCTCAGAAGCCTTAAAAAGCCCAAGCTGTGATTTATTTGGAGAATTGAGCGTGGTTGTTATATTGGAGACAAAATTTGATTGACTAATTTGTTAAGTCGGCATTGAAGATGAAATTTCTAAAATATGATGTTAAAAATGATCAATTAAAAGATTTACTGCCTATTAAGCTTAATAACATGAACATACATGTTTGATCAAACAGCTTTCCATAGTGGAAAATGTTTGAAAATCAATTGCTGCTATTATCCAGCCTACGTGTAACATTTATAAACACCAATTTATAAAATTTATTTATTAAAGCAAATGTTGTTTTCTTAAAACATTAGAAAGTTAGGAAGTTTGTACCTAAAAAAAGGCAAGCATAACTATTAAGGTTTACTTCTCTTTTGAATTGCAAGCTACATACACTGTTGCTAAAACCTTTGAAGGGAAATAAATGAATAAATGAATTTTACTCTCCACAAATTTGTGCCCTGATGATATGTTGCAAGGCCTTCCAACTTTTCAAAATAAAATCTAATTTATAAAGTGAACAGGAAACTAGACATGTCCAACTGAAAGATTGCTTCAATCTCTCAAACTGAATAATAGCAAAAAGACTCTTGCTGAGAAAAAGTCAGTATCCTTGGGACAATCGCATCTGATCTCACAAATGAATTCTTTTTCTAATGGAACTAACATACCCTGCAGGAGAAAAAAAAAATCTAATGGTTGTGAATAATTAGGGGTCAGAATTCAATATTTAAGTTGATACGAAACACTGGGACAGGATATTAAATGTCACACTGCCTTGAGAGAAAAGTGAAGCCGATCCAATTTAAAACACCTGAAACCAGATGCAAGTGAGTACATTTTCAAAGAGATAATCTTGCCCAAACAAGATATCTGATTTGTAAGTTGATTTGTACTCATTTTGATGGTTTCTTAAAATATGGAGGAAATTAAAATGTATAACAATTTTTAATGATTTTAGTACAGATGTCCTTAGAAAAAGGCAGTTGATGTTTTACTATTGTAGTTCCACAAATGTTGAGCAACGTAGAGGTGTTAAAGAAATGGGTTTCTACCTCAAAGTAGAGGTGTAAAGAAACAATCCATGATGGATTGTTGCGGGAAAGTAATGGAACTAATGTGTTTATTCTTCAATTGTTTAATTTTATTGCATCAACTAAAGTTTTAGCATTAGACTAGACTTGTCTTCCCCTTCAAAAAGCCAGAATACTGCTTCACTTCTCATGAAATGAAGCAGAAATGTTAACAATTTTGATTAGTGTTTTCAGTGTTTTTGATTTTGGAGGGGCAAGGTTTTTGATTAGGGAGGGGCAAAGGCAAGTGTTATAGTATTTTTGATCATAAATTTCTTTTTAAAGGTGGAAAAAAATGAAAACATTTTCTTAAAAAGTGTTGGTTTTTAGTATGGTTATTGCTATCTGAATTTGGTATCAGTTTGAATGATAACTGATTTTTTTTTTTTTAAAGGATTGCAGAGTTCCATGTGGGACTGTATTGTACTGAATTAGTAGCTTTCCTGTCCCGTATACCAAATGAATACTGTGCTTCCTGTAAGGCAGAGTAATATCTTTTTTTTTTATTTGATTATTTTTCAGGGCTATCTTCCTGCAAATGTGGATCGAAGAGAAAGCACTTTACAAAGAAAACGGAAAGAATATTTTGCATTTGTTGAGCAATACTATGATTCCAGAAATGATGAAAGTCACCAGGACACGTACAGACAGGTACTACACCTAATAAAAATGACTGTTACCTACATTAAATGTGTTAAAGAACTTCAACCCTGCGTGTTCCCCTGCTCTCCTTTCCTCCTTCCTCTACTTTGTTGCCCCCCCCCGCCCCCCAAAAAAACCCACCACTCTGTTAAATTTTTGTTTTGTTTCTAATTTCTTTATTTTTACTGATAGGGAATTAGGCAGGGATAGGCAATAGGCCATCAGCCAAACAGTTATTTTTTTCCTGTTCAGGATCAAAATTAATTAAATCTGTATTAAATCAGTAAATGTTCTGTTCTAAAACATAAATACTTTATCTTCTGTATTTAGAAGTCTTCACATCAGGTTTTGTCATGACACGCATGCTGCCATACTAGTGTTTTCCCTTTAAGGCATGTAGTTTTCAAAGCACCCATCTCCTGCTCAGCCTCTTCTTCAAATGGTTGAGAGGATAATACAGGGGAAGTGTAGCAAAGATAAAAATAATACACAGAAATATAAAAAGTAATACATACAAATTAAACTTTTTTATATTAGAATTAATAATGTGTATCACTAGTTACAGAGTAATCAATTGACAGTAATCTTTCTTTAGGATGGAAAAGGGGAGGTCTGTCTTCTCCTTAAAGCTTCATCTTCATTTATGACAAGGTTAATGGAAAATTGTTTTACATGCAGCTAGTAATGCTTTTTTAGTTATAATTACCTTGAAGTAACGGAGAAATCTTGCCAGAAGAAGCATAATTTGCAAACCCTCAAAATGTGATATGAGGATCTTTGTGTGAAAGAAAATTGTATTTTTTTATTTTGTTGCGAGTTAATGATTTCAAGATTTGGCCCTATGTTTCGAACTAATATAAGTCAATAATATTCCTAAAGAGAGAATACAAGCAGATTATAACCGTAAACCTGAGTGTTTACACTGTTTGTTTAAAAGCTATGTTGTCCTCCTTTTGACAGTGTCTTCCTTATGTTTGATTAGATTCATATAGATATCCCACGCATGAGTCCTGAAGTTTTAAGACTTCAGCCCAAAGTAACAGAGGTAAGAATGATATCTAAATAATGATTTCTTTAGATTACTCACTTTAATGAGTTTGGTATTGCAGTTTTGATTACTTATTTAATTTGACAACAGTCACCAATTTTAACTGTGAACCAATCTGAAAGAGACCAGAAAATGAGAGTATAGGAGTCTCATCACTTTACTGTTCAAAGTAATTGCAAAGTGTTTTGGAAATGGGCTTCAAATGTGAAGTGACAAAATTCACCTACTACTGTGATTAGTCACAGGAGGAGATGATGAAACTCAGGGACGGGGTGACAATTTTGGAAGAAATTCAGTGTGAATAGGGGTAGAGTAATATGAATAACAAAGGAAAGGAAACTTCGACTGAACTAATACAGGAGTAGCCACTATTGCATTATCTGGTATAGTCTAGAAGAGAGCTCTTGAACAGAGAATACCCTCCTGCTTGGTAGCAATAGGAAAACAAATAATATTAAAGTGATTAAGTTGCAATAGAGAACAAATCAGAAAACACAGTTAAGCTACTTTACAGATCTGTGTAGCTGCATTTTGAGTGCTGTATATTGTTGTGGATTCTCAGTCTCCAAAGGATAAAGTAGAATTATAGAGACAAGGAGAGGTGTGAACTGGCTTGTCTTGGATTCAAGTAACAATTAAAATTTTTGATTTAACAACAACAAAACTCACAAAAATCTGAAAAAAGTTTTTTGAGATTGTGTTACTTAATGAAAGAATGAGATGTACTCCACTTCTGTGACTTGAGTCCATCCTCCATTGGGTAATGTCCGTATCTTGATGTCGAATGGAAATGGAAACCTGTGGGAGTTGAGACTAGTTTTATTTTCTGTTGGCCTGTATATGCATAAAGTAAGATATTTTTAAGTGACTGATTGCTCTTAGGAGATAGTATTTTATTAAGCTTATGGAAAAAGTAGCAAGTGCTTAGATGTAAATTTGAGCATAGATAGTACGAATACCACAGTTATGTTCACTGGGGATATTTAATAACACATTTAATCTTACAGTTGTGTTAAAGAATGATTATAGTCCCTTTTTGATTGATTGATTTAAGGCCAAGGGGTTTACATATCGATTTTGAAACTATTTTCTTGCAAAAAAAGAGTTACTCTGGTATTATTTTTATTAGCAGTCACAGTCAAGAGGGGATTTTTATGGCTGAGTTGTATCTGGAAGTAGGCTGGTGTAATGAGACTGCTGACAGTTAACTTCATTAGGAGACACTGCCAGAATAAAACATCATTCGTATTATTGCCTAGGAGTAATTAAAATAAACAGGAAATACCATTTGTTGGCAGCTATATGGGTAACTTACTGTGAAGTAAAATTCTGCATGTCAATAGCTAATATTATTTAGTAAAGATTGAGTCCAGAATGCAATTTCAGTTCAGTTTATAAGATCATTAAATTCGTAGAATTATTCAGTTTTTTTCTCTCTTTTTATTGTCTTTGGCAGGTAACAATATTGCTTAGGTAGCATATTTATTTAAATATTGGTTATATAGATCTTGCATTTTTTTAATAAAACTGGAGTTGTTTTTGTTTCTAGTCATTTGTTAAAGTTGTCCAAGCATGTGCTTTCATAGTGTTTAAATGGTTATATGTGTCTTAATAGAAGCGTATGTGTGCTTCACATATATGGCATCACATATCTGAAATCTCTTTCTAGAAGCTGTGATAATTCTTGCAATAACATTATATAGGTAAACTCTGAGGATGATTCACTTTCATTTATAGAGCTTATTAACTTCATTTACTGGGAGTAACATACAGGCTGATATCCCTGATTTGCGGAGTTTACTCATGCTTTCTTAGCTTGAATAGTCTGTAAAACTGAGCCAAATAATAGCTACCATCTTTTTACATGGTAGAGTTTGCAGAATAAGTAATGTAGGTGTTTCCAGAAGTTCTGATCTTTTTCCCAATTCCTAAAAAGAGATGGGGAAAGAGGAAGGTAGGGAATGAGTGGCTTGGGGCATATAATCCTCAAATTCCACAGCAAGAGGTAGCTGTGATGTAAGTACGTGGATCTCTTCAGTGGGATCAGGGCATACTACAAATAGAATGTTTCTGCTGTGTCCTTTAAAATATGAAAAACAAACAAACAAACCAAAACCTCCACCCAACTAATACCCTATCCATCTCCTTTCCCATCAATCTGGCCAACTACTTCTACCTCTTTTCTTCCGTTTGTGAGTTGGTGGGAAATAAAAAGAGGAGAAAACCTGAAGGAGTAAGAGGTGACAACAGGGGGCTGGACCTGCTATGTCCTTCCAACCTCAACTCTTCTGCACTTCTGTGCAAAAAGAGGAAAGTAGAAGTATATTTTAATACCATTCTGTGAGTTGGGAATGGGTACACTCGAGCTACAGGAGAATGTGAAAAGGGTATACGGCAGTAACCAGAGGAATAATGCAAAATAAAGGAATTGTTTAAGTTAGGAAGAGGTGATAGGGATATAATTTAGTTCTCAATGATCCATCAGTGCCCTGCACTTTAAAATATCTTAGTACCCTCATGTGTTATGATGATGTTATTAAAACCCTATTAATTACTTGATCAGAAGATTGGAGTAAAGTGTGTGGGGGGCTGTATCTGTCTTTGCCTTTCCTCTTTCTTTGAGCTTGCTGGGGAACCAAGATGTGACCTTGCCTCACAGTATCCTATGATGAAGATCTTATGCCAGAAGGGTTGTAACATCCAGCTTTTTCTGAGCTCCTTCCTCTCTCTCTGTGAGGTCTTGAGCCTCTACCCTGGCAGAGCCTAATGTCCCCAAGATCACCATGCACCTCATGGCTCCACAGGGACCTGCTCCGTTAGGCTCAGGGCTGTTGCTCTTCTAAGGACATGGAAGTTGTTGCTGGTCCCACACGAGGAAGGTTCGTTCTTCCTTCTAAGGAGCGATGGGAATACCTAAAGAAGCTGAAAAGATTTTAGAGTGAGTCCAGATTGGACTCAAAAGCTGGTGTAGGGTGGACATTGTGGCAAGTTTTGTACTTGGTGGTTTTTGGAAGTGTAGAGTTTAGAATAATATAATTCTGCTGCAGAAAGCATAGAGGAAGAAGTGAGGAGATGGGAGGTGACAGAACTGGAAATAAATGCTAGTTGAGAGATCAGAAAACACAATAGGTTTTTGAATCTTAACAATGTCATTTTGTTTCCAAATATTACCCTTTGAGATGCTGCAGGATTTTTATGTCTGTTCTTAGTGGTTTCTTTCCCGGCTCCCAAAAGAATTTCTGCTAGAATTAATACAAATATAAGAAAATATTTTCTGGGAATTTAACTACTTATACCTTATTATGAAATTGTAAGTATAGACTAAAAAAATTTAGTCAGTGAAGTTGGAATAGTCTATCTAAGCAGCTATTTAACATGTGTATTTGGATTATGTGAGAGAAGTGATTTCCCGGAAACACCACCTCATTGAAAAATAAATTAATAAGCTTTGGGGATTTTGGCTTTCTTTTGAGATGACAAAACCTACAGGTATTCAAAATCCATATTTAAACTCATTAATTCATCTTCTTATGCATATGAATATAGTTCTTACTGTTACCATGAAAGTGAGTGGAATTCAAAGGAAAATAATTGATTGGTAATGACATCTCATGAGATATAGCAGTTTGTATCAGAAAAGTAATTCTAGTTTTTGTTACTAGTTTAGAAATCAAGACAGAAGCCTCTTGAGAAAGTGACCCTTTTAATGATGACTATTTGAATACAGGGTAGAGTGCTGTATAGAAACTTAGCTTGGTCTGCCTTTGAGGTATTCAGTGTTCGGTTTCTGATACACATCAGTAAATTAAACTTTATGAGAATAGGTAGGAAATTGAAAATGCTATTTCAGTGAAAACTTGTTGAATTTCTGGTTTAGATGCAATAAAGCATTTGGGGATATTAAATCCCGTATGCCAAGAGTTACTTTAAATGTAGCTGTAGTGGAGCAGACACAAGCTGCACGACTGCGGCCCGTGCTTCTGGGGCCACCAGGTTTTGCATCTCTTCGTGTTCACCTTCCTGTTGCTCTGTACATTTTCAGCACTCTGCCCTTGGACATGACAGGGAAGCATGACAGAAGATTAAGGAAAACGGTTTTCCTAATTATCTCTGGAGTTGGAGAATAGATACTGATAGCTGGGACTTGTCTTTGAGGTTAAAAAGCGCAAATGTGTTCCAACCTCAGCCAGCTCACACGCAAGATCACATGTGGTGGGACTCTCAGGCATCTGGATTTACGAGTCTCATCTGCCTAGAACTTTCCCTACCCTAAGAAGGCATAAAAGGGCTTTTAAGTTGAAGAAACTGAAGAATAACTTAAACGTGCCGTAGGCCTTTAGCCTGCTGAGCTGCGTTTGCTCTGCTCGCCTGGCAAGCTGTGTAACACCTCTAACTTTCGGCTGCAGCCTAACGAGAGAATAGCGTATTTTCAGAAATAAATAACTATGAATAAATAGCACGAGGCCAAATTGTGTTGGGGATAAGCTCAGTGACTTCCCTGCCCTGTGTTCTTCTCATGCTTTGCTTCCCTATGCAGACTGTGTAGGTTGTGGCCTTGAGAGGTCTGGCAGGTCCCGTTCAAAGGGTTCAGGGAGGAAAGGTTTATATGGCTGTGTGATACTTTTTCTCTACATTTCCTGATTTTCTGATGTTTTATTAATCACACTTGATTCTGAAGAATAAAACCTCACACTGCAGCATTAGGCAAGCTTTTTCTCTTATGCAGGAAGAAATGATAAAATATTTCTTTCAAAGAGGTAAATTTCCATGGAGAGATCATTTAAGCCACCTATGTCTTGAGGAAAGAGGAGTTATGTCATACTGGAAAAGCTCCAGTAAATAAAGTGCTATTTCATTGTAGACAGTGTAAAACTGAATTATTTACAAGGTTGCTTTGAATGTGTGCTAATACTCTAAAAATATTTTCTTTTAAATTACTCAGAAGCTTAATTAACATTGGCAGTTAATTATGAAAAACAGTGTTAATTTAGACTTCTGTGTGCATTTTTTTTGCTACTAGCTGTATAACATTAGATTTATCCTTGTATACTTTCAAGTGCCTTTTCTAAAATGTGCTTACTGCTTGATGAATTGCCTGATAGTTTCTTTAACTCTTTTTCAGATCTTTGAACGAATTTTGTTTATCTGGGCTATACGTCATCCAGCCAGCGGATATGTTCAGGGCATAAATGATCTTGTTACTCCTTTTTTTGTAGTCTTCGTTTGTGAATATATAGGTAAGATTTGTTACAACACTGGGTTTTGAATTGGTAATGGCTTTGGAACAATACTTTCATTTTAATATGAGTAACAATTTGGATTAGCTAATCAAAGCATAATGCAATATATGAATTTTACTATACGTTTTTGTAATTATAAATCTGCATAGTTTTCTTACATAACTCTCAAAAAACATACTGACAAGTTATCAAGCTCTGTGTGAACAGTGAGTAGAGTTCAGGAATCTTTCAAATCTATGTTCAAAAAAAAACCCTAAAACTGTAGAAGCTACAGAGATGTCAGATGATAAAGATGGAGAAAGATGATCTAGCCTCTGTTTACATTATGGTTTTTAACTGCATGTCTATCTTACATTCCTGATGCTTTCTTCTTCATAGGTGGTTTCATTGTCCCTTTCTTTCTCTCCACCAATTTGCTTGTTTGTATGATGAGGTAAAATTGCATATATGGAATGACCTCACAAATAAGAAGGGATTGAAAAATACACCACAACCCCCAAATTACCCCCTTCAAAACAAAGAAAGAAAGAAAGAAACAAACAAAACAAAGAAATATTTAAAATAACATAGGGGGAAATTAAGGAAGAGAGGAGCTATTAAGCTGGCTGTTGCCAAAGAGATTACAACCTGAAATCAGGATTTCAACTGTAAAGCAATAGTAACTAAAATTCTCAGTTTTTAGAATTTTTGAGTATATAGAATATATAGTCAAAATATAGGGTCAAAATATATAAATACTCAGAATATAGAGTATATAAATTTTGAGTATATAGAATACTAATATGAAACAGTTGTATTTCTGTTGAGTTGTGGACTTTTTAATTATCTGCTTTTGCAATCCTTTACTTGGGAAACTTTACTGCTTAAATGCTCTTCCCACATATCATTTTATAATTTATAATTTAATGTCTCCACTTTTAATGGACATTAAGAGCAGGACTGATCTAAGGACTGAGCTCTGCAAATACAACCTGTCCAAATACTTCCCTTTAACTTTGTTTTAATGGGCTGTAAGTGCATGTTACATTCCTTAGGGCCAGATACTAAAAATGGTAACTTGCAATTCTAAACCAGTTGTTCACTACTGGTGTAAAACAAGGCTGTGAGGCAAAACACATACAATGAGATATAATGAAAGTTGTTATATACACATATAATGAAAATTAACAGTGTTTATATGTAAACTTAGGTGATATGTTGTCTTACCGCTTCAGTAAGGCGGTATATAGTAGCTTCTTATTTTCCCATCTTCTATATGCAAGACGCTCATTGGTGACTTAATCCAGATTGATTAGATTTAAAGGAGGACAGATTATCCTTCACTGAGTGAAAGACTATTCATTCACTCATTTGCATGACAACACCTCGTTGCTCTATTCATTTCTTGTTTCATAGGAGGACATTTTATTGCTAAGCAACTAATGAGAATTACTGCTGCTTACTCCCTAATCATCTTCTAAGTAGGGTAGAGGCCCACTCCTGAGAGTACTTGCAGTTTCTGCCTTTTACTCCCTCATTTGACAGATAATGAAAATGTTCTTAATGATCCTAGAACAGTAGGATCTCTAGTAGACTTTAGGGTTGTTAATTGAAATAAGAAGTTCAAATGAGATGTGATTAGAGAATTGATATTCCATGTTAAATAGACCATTTAATTAATATGGTAAATAAGTTTGTCTTTACCACCAACTTACATTTGGAGACCGTGGTGATTGCTGAGGTATTTGTCAGCTTGTCAGTATTTTCATATCAGAGAACTATTTTCTTAAGTCCCCAGGAAAGAAACCTAAACTTAAAAGATAACAGCCAGAAATGATATTTGTCAGTGAAAATATATGTATTCTAAAAGCTGTATTCTAAAAGCTCATACAAGAGCTAAAATGTATATAATAAAAATACTGGACTGCAAATATTTTCTTGAATGTAGTAGTAATCCCAACTAAAGGCTAATGCACCAGTCACTTCCCACAGTGACATATGATAACATTTGAAGGTTTGTCTTTAAACACCTTTTTGATTTGAATCTTTTTAGTATATTGAAGTTACTTGTGAGTGATGCGTACAAGTTGCTGTGAATGACAGTATGTATTTTACTTATTTCAAATAATAACCTTTAAAATTCATGGAGCGCATCAAACACTCTAAGGACTGTAATAAAACTGTAAAAACTGAGAAGCAAAGAAACAAAACGGAGGGCAAGAATTGTGCTTAAATAATGCTGTATTTGCTGTGTTTCCGGGCAAAAATATTTAAGCTATATAATGTATCTTTATATATTTATATACATTTTTATATATTTATATATATGCATTTATATGTATTTATATATAATGTATTCACTGAGTAATACCTAGTAAAGAGATGTTCCAAAGAATTAGCTAAGACTTTGTATTGGGTGCAGTTCTGGATTCCCCAGTACAAGAGGGACATGAAATTTCTAGAAATGGTCCAGCATAGAGCAACAAAGATCATTAAGGGACTGGAACGTCTGCTGTTTGAGGAAAGACTAAGTGAGCTGGGTCTGTTTAGCCTGGAGAAGGTTGAGAGGGAATCTGATCAACATGTACAAATTATCCCTGAGAGGAGAATGTAGGGAGGAGGGGAACGAAGTCTTCTCGTTGGTGACCAGTGACAGGACAAGGGGCAATGGGTCCAAGCTGAAACCCAGGCAGCTCCATCTGCATGTGAGGAAGAACTTGTTTGGTGTGAGGGTGCCCGAGCCCTGGCACAGGCTGCCCAGGGAGGCTGTGGAGTCTCCTTCTCCGGAGATCTTCCAAAGCCGCCTGGATGCCGCCCTGTGCCCCATGCTCTGGGTGTCCCTGCTGGAGCAGGGGGCTGGACTAGATGAGCTCTGGGGGTCCCTTCCAGCCTCAACCAGTGACAGAGTTCGCAATCCTTGATCTGTTCTAATAATTTTGTGATGTTTATGGAAGTCCTTCTGCTCTTCTAAAGACATCCATCTAGAACACAGAAAGGGTGTCACAGAAGTAGTTTTGGAGATGGAGATATTGTGTTTGAAAGGCATAACTTTCTTGTCAATTTTAGAAATTAGACTTATGAATCTTTTTATAAAGACCCAAATTGTAGCTGTTCTTGTGGTTAGTCTGGATTTAAGTACCTAATTTTAGCATGTACGTTTGCACATTTCAAATAATTTGAGTGACTGAACATGGGAATTGAATGTTTTTAGAGTTTTAGAAGACATGTAGGTATGATGAAAATATAATTTGTTAATATGTCATTAGTTTCCCATTCTGTAATAAATGCCAGAATACTGGAATATTTTCAGTAAGATGGAATTTGTTGCCAAAAGCAAGCTGAGAATCACAACTGAGAGTAATTCAAGAGGGAAACCTATTGGTTCTACTTGTTCCTGTTGGCATACAGTAGATTAAACTTCTATGTTTAAGTTGGGAGAAGAAGGAACCTAAACCTACCATTTTGGTCAGAGGCTTATAGGTATGTCAATCTCTAACTTTTTTTCTTCAAACTTGTTTAATGTTTATATGGTTATTCTGATATTTCAAGCATTAGTGGTATGAGACTTGCATCCTCACTCTTAACCTCCCGCGTGACATAGGAAAACTGTAAGCTATGTTTTTAGAACAAATGCTAGTTACTGTCAGGGCAGTTTTCCTGAAAGCTCAATGTCTTTAATTTATATTGAAATGAATCTTGTCCGTGTGGATCTAATTCTGGACGTATTTTTGCTAATGAGATTAAAATAACGCTGTGTGATTTCTCACTGCTCATTGACTTTATTGCTCTCAATTGCCGAGTTCTGTTTCCAGCTACCACCAGTGGCTCTCTACTTACTTAGACATGTAGACACCTTCCAGTCGCTCTGAGTTCCTGTTGATCCACGTTGGTGTCCAATATTGAACTGTGCTGGAGGAGATAAAGCTAGATAGGAAGTATTTGTACTATAAGACAGACTGAGCATGACATGTCCAAACTGGGGCAATAACAAATTCCTTTGTGGACATTTCCTAAAGAACTGTACCTGGGTAGTTTTCCTTGAGACACACACATCCCATACGAGCTCCACATGGCTGGAGACTGACAGCATCGTCCTTGCTCACTTGAGGTTTAGCAGGAAAGAAATATTGGAAAAACTCACAGGATAATGGTCTGGAATAGGAGGGACTTTGTATGTTTAAAAAATGAAGAGCTTACCAGAGTTTGCTAAGAGTTTTGATATGCTCTTGATTTTTTTTTCTTATAGAATATTTTTGGAATTGTACTGCATAACATGCTCCACTTTTAATGCTTTTTTTCCTTTTTCTTCAGATATTTGTATATTTGTGCAGTTGACTGTTAAAATGGTTTCACTTACACATTTGAAATGATTTATGAAACTTGCACAGATTACATTTATGTAAAAGCTTTATGAAATCTGAAATGTAATTGAGGTTTTTACATTTCTTGCAAATTGCTGAAAGTATTTACATTTTTTCGCTCTGTTTTAAATTAATGGATAATTTGCATGAAAACTTACTCAGAATATTTTAAATCAGTCTTAAAAAATGAATATTTCTGCCCTAAGTTCCATTTAATCACATTAAATCTCCTAAATTTAATGCAAATATTGAGGAATACAGTTTCCATATACAGAATTATATTTGTTTGTTAATAATTTATATGACATTTTATTAAATTATCCAAGGCATTCACTGAAATTTACTGGAATTTTTATAAAAATGAAAAATATTTTGTGAAAAGTTCCTGGGAGAAATATTGCTGTGATTTCTAGTTTTAGTTTTCCCCCCTTCTCTTTTGTGAGTAAAAAATAATTAAAACTTGCCTAAAACTCCCTTGAACTCTTTAAGATATTAGAAAGTCAAGCCCTTCTTGAAGGTGAGACTAGAAAGTGCTTGGGAGTTTTGCAGATCTTTTTCTATCAGCTCAGTGTTCTCAAATTTCTCTGCCAGCTCTCCGCAAAGCACCTTCCCCTGGTTTCACATATTATGAAACAATTAAAATACACATATATGCAC